ATGGGTATCATTTGTGAAAATAAATAATCTATATCCTATATCTATCTATCTATCTATCTATCTATCTATCTATCTATCTATCTATCTATAGAGAGAGGTTGATAACTGTATAGATATCAATATTTAACAATTTATATTTTCTTTATCAGTTACTGACTTAGATATGATAAAAATTTCTATGAGCACTTGTAGTAATGAAGGCTGTAAACGAAAGACATTTCTTTTCACTGATGACATAGATAAGTATTTACCAATGACTACAGCTAGAGATACACAGATATCAGCAATATAATAAGGTATACTTAATAGATTCGGGAGGAAAGAGATGGTTAATTCATGGTCTAATTAATATTCTCAAAAAGTGTTTAATAACAATAGCAAAATACCTGCCTTCTTAATACTTTTATTTTATTTTTGTAGGTCAGAAATATGTGAGCAGGAGTGAGCTTGCTTCTTTGTGCAACATGAATATGCTTATTCATGAGAACAAAAAAAAAACACCCACATTTTTGCTTATTATGTGCCAAGAGTTACGTTTGGAAGGCATTGATGGATTTTAAGCAGACAAGTGACATGATATTTTTGACTTTGAAAGATGAGGCATAACTTTGTTTTTCTCCCAGCACTGATTTCAAATGTGTTCTGCCAGATATTTCTTCCTCAACCTTTAAAAACATGACAAGATCCTGTAAGTTTCCAGTCACGTTCAGCTGTAAGAACAGTCTTGCTTTGATAATGAACTCATTTACAGATGTTAAAAAATCTAGTAGAGTTTAAATCAAAATACCAATCTCATATTCAATCTATGGCTGCTTTTATTTCCTCAGCTCAGTTCTGATCTGTGGTTTTGAAACTGCAGTGGGGTCTACACTCTCATTCTTGTTTCTGGTTCTTCCAGGACAAGATTTGAAAAAAGGAAAAATAAGAAAATAGCTTCTTTTGTGGATATATTTTCAGATTTCTTTGGAAGACTCTGTAAGATCTCTATACTTTGAATCTCTCTAACACAGTGGTGTATTCTAGAGATTACCTCTGTAATGCTTCCTCACTTTCTTCTTCAAAAGTATGCTCCTCCCCGAGTCCCTTATTCTTGGTAGGTTAGCATACTTTAAAGATGGCTGCTGTCCAGCTTCTTTATGTAGCATGCATTTTTTCATAGATATTTGTGTATCCTTGCTGAGAACTCAAGCTGATTCATTGTTTTTTCTTTTCCCCCATTGAGTTGTCTTCATCCTACTCCAGGAGAAAGACATGCACCTGCATCTATATTCACACATGTGGCAACCTCCAGGCATACAAGTCAATGTCTCTCAAGAACTTTATTGTGCAATACTTTTTGGTTGATGGTTCCAAGGTAATGTAATTCAGTAAGCATAAATCTGGGGAGTGAGGTTCCAGTACCCTATTTTGCATGCACCTTCACTTTTCATGAAAAAATTATCTTATATCCTACACCTTGATTTGAAAGACAGTGCTTCCACTTCTTCCCATGAAAATAAAACCCCAAAGCATCATTCCCCTTCATTCCAGACCTCAATGACCCCATCTTCTCTAATGATTTAATGAGATTCAGTTTTCTGTAGCTATGTGTTGAATTCAGTGGTGAGAGTGAGAGATTTTCACCTCATTTGGCCACTTGTCAGTAAACCCTGGAAAAAACAAAAAAGTGGCTGGTGGCCCTATGTCTCTTCAGGGTACCCTATTGTTCTTAGTAATGGGACTCTAGACACATTTCCAAAACAAGACCAAAACTCTTGCTAGGCAGTATGTTTCATCTTATATAAATAGTACCATGAGAACACTGAATAACTGACTAGAGGGAAATGAGACCACAGACAGGGATTTCAGATAGCAACCCAGGTGATAAATGAATGAAGTCTGAACTGAAGTAGTGATAATTGGAACAGAGATAAGGAGATGCATTTGTGAGATATTCATTTAGGTGAGTGATCATGCAACCATGCTATTTGCAAAGACATGACTTAAAGAAAGAAAATTGGGCTTTTAGAATAAGGCTAGGCAAAGCAAATGAGTGATCTTGACCATGTTGAGTTTTATGTCTCTGGGAGGACTTTGGCAGAGAAGCTCAGTAGGCAGTTACGTATATAGTATGAAGCTCATGAGAAGTGTCTCTCTTGGAGCTATCATTGGAGGAGTCCTCAGAATTCAGGTAGCTATTGACATAGAAGTATTTGAGATTACCTAAGGAGAGTGTATAACATGAGAAAAAAGAAGAGTTCAGTAGAGCACTAAGAAACATCTAATAGAGTCCCCAAATCCAGGATGGTTTGCATAGAATACTGGGGAAGGACCAGAAAGGTGGGAATAAAAAGTTCCCTAAAGAATACCTACAAGAAGATGCAACCCTCCTTTCTTAAGCCTTTTAGCATATCACCTGTCCTACTTGTACTGCTTGTGCCACTTGTATTACTTTCCCTTTATCCTGTTCTTCTCTTCATCTTCCCACTGAAGCTGGCTTCTTCCTTAATGGGTACTGAAAATGAATCAATTTGTTGTCTATGATGATAGATAACTAATCAGAGGAATGTTGTTTCTAATTTAGGCATGCTGCCACTTCTGCTGATGGGCAGAGTGCTGTGATTCCGCTATGGTTCTCTGCATTTCTTTATTTCACAGTTGGCAGCTGTCCCTTTATAGTGGGAACTTCATCTTTCTCTTTCTTAGCATCCTAAATACTCAGAGGTTCCAAAAGGCTGTGGTTACAGTGTCCCTCAGGTTTGACAATCAAATAAAATATAATGGGCCTAACCAATTCTTCACATTGTTAGAAAACATCTCAATGTTACTGGAAGAAAAGGAAAAGTGATTATTTATTATGGGGCTCCTAATGATCCTTTTTAGAGAGGATTATTACAAGGCTCTTATAAATCTTCAAATATTATAGAAAGACTTCTCACCAGTGTGCTGCAGGGGTTTTTTTGTTGTTGTTTGTTTGTTTGTTTGTTTGTTTTGCTGCAGGGGTTCAGGAATCTGGAGAGGGGGGCTGCATATAAATGACAAGAAATATAAATTTGGAAGGCATTTGAGGGAGCCAGGGGATGCTTATTTCTAGTGACTAAGCTCTTTGAATATCCAGACCCACAGCTTTTTATTCACACATTTTTCCTTTAGCAGAGCAGATATACATATCAAAGGTAAGGTTTGGTAAATAGTCAAGTTAGGGAAATTTCATTTGGCTGTTCCAGCAGCAGGTAATAACATGCAGGTTTTCAACCTTCCTGAAAATGTCCATTCAACTATTTGAGGACTTCTCACATTCATTACGACCTTTTAGACTTAGCCTCCAGCACCAGTGGACTTCTATTTAGCAGGATGGAGAAGTTCAGAGACAAATCAGAAGAAAAGCAAAGAGAGGATAGTATTTTTCAAGACACCACTAAGCCAAATCAAAACATTTGGGAGAAAAGAATAGAGTATGTAAATTTTCATTCACTTACAAAAGGATCAGTCAACTAAACCAGCTACTTTCAGTAGTTGTATACTTTGCTTGCTTAAAACAAAGTGAATATCTCCCCCTTTTCTGAATGCTTGCCTTCTCCAACTCCCAAAGTGTATGTCAAAACTCACATCTACTTTTATTTTCCTTTTGAAGTAGCATGCCAGTTTGCAACACCCACTTCCATACCTGTATAAGCATACTATCCTGTGGGCAAGTTTTTGGTTCCACACCCTCTGTAGCTTTGCCAAAGTCATGGAGGCAACTGATGGGAAGCCAGGAAGAGTAGATACAGCTGTGGCTCTGGCTAGTTTGGCTCAGTGGATGGAGTTAAAGGATCCCAGGTTCGATTCTGGTCAAGGGCACATGCCAGATTTCAGACTTGGTCCCCAGTGGGAGACATGCAGGAGGAAGTCAATCAATGATTCTGTCTCATCATTGATGTTTCTATCTCTTTCTCCCTCCCCCTTCTTCTCTGAAATAAATAAAAACACATTGTGTTGTTGTTGTTTTTTAAAATAATATATACATCTTTGGACTTTTAGCCCCCACCAGGGAGCTTTGGGCACACTACTTCTCTTTCTTCTTTCTTTTCAAGGGTTCCCTGGCTCTGATGAGTAGTAAATTTTCTTCATCAAATGAAATATGTAGAGTATTCCTTAAAAATACCTTGCATTCCATCTGATTTGGCTCTGTAGATAGAGCATAGGCCCTCAGAGTGAAGGCCTATGTCAAGAGCACATACATTGATAGCAGGCTCCATCCCAAGCCCTCGTTGGAACATGTTTCTCTCTTTCTGCCTCTCCCCCTCCCTTCTACTCTCTAAAACTGAATGGAAAATTATCCTCAGATGGAATTAACACACAAACAAACAAAAATTCTTGCAAATATGAATTTGTCCAAGTGAACAGATACATAGATTTAGGGACATTGTATGCAAATTTTGAACAGCTCCCTCAAGATAGGAACCTGGGTTACTTTTATATATAATCACATAATTCAGGTAGTAGAAAAAAATTTATGACAAATTCATTTTAAAGATTATGAGTGGTGAGAATTTTTTTAAGGCAGAAAAGTATTTTTCATATATGAATTGAGTGCTCTGAAAAAGTCTGTTTACAACACAGGCTATTGATAATAACTACAATGTAAGTTAAATAGAAAACATGTTGTATGTTACTGTAAAACTACCTTTGGACAATAGAACAAAAGCAAATATTTACACTTTATATAGTATATATGAGCACTTGCTGTGTGTCACACACACTGGGTTACTTCACTCAATTCTTACAACTGTGAGATAGAGCTACTTTTTCCTAATTTTTATTTTTAAATTACCTACTTTTGCTCAAAACCCACTGCTAGGAAGCTGGCCTTGCTTCACTTTCTCCATGAGGCATAGACATGCTTAGCACCTGCTCAAAGCCCCATAAATTGTGCAGGAAAGTGCTTGTCAAAAAGAAGGAACTGTGGATAAACAGCCAAGATGGCAGCATAGATACACATCTAAACTGCTGGGGGCACAACAATTTCAAAACTACAACTAAAAGAGAAAACGTCTATCACCCAAACCACAAAAAAGCTGGCTGAGTGAAAGTTCTACAACTAGAAGGGAAGATAAAAGAGCATTCAGTGCACAAGCGCTGAAAAGTTGAGGTATGGAGATGCACATGAACCAGGCTGGCAGCAGGCATTGCTTTCTTAAACCTGAAGGGAGACAATCTCCAAATTTCTCTGAAATACAGTTTCTGGGGAGACCTGGGGGACACAAACTCTTACAGGGAGAAACTGGACTGTCTGCCATCAGGTCAGAAAGTGAGGGTGGCTTGCTTGCAAAGCTGCATGCAGGAATAATTATTTTCTGTGCTGGGGCACAGGACATTGGGATGCTATAGGAGGCGTGGGGATGGCTGAAGCCATTATTGTTTGCCATGCCCTAGCCTGGTGATGCCCTGAGACCCCGACCTGACAACCTACAAGCCCACCTAGCTCCAAGCAGTGGTTTTTGCATATCAATGGTCTTCCCTATCACAGCTTAACCTAGCAAACTTGCAACCCAGGTTAGACAGATCCAAACCTCCAAGCCCCAAGTAAAGAAGAGAAAACTGTATTTCTCTCTGTAGCTCCTGCAGGGTGGCCTCAGACAGTAGCTGACCTGCACCCCATTGGAGATACAGAAGCCAGTGTACCTAGTGGTCAGTGTGAGATACCAGATTTCAACTCCTTACATCCATTAGTGACACATTCAAGAGGCAAACTCAGTGAGCACCAACCCACTGAAGCAAGTCATACCCCATAAGCGTGTCACCAGCACAACAGTTCTTCATTATAGACACAGCAAATCCTAACAGCCAATTGGCCTGAAGATCAACTTCTCTCACTGTACCACTAGCAATTAAGGCTTAACTACACCAAGACTTTGCACTCGGCCCACAAAGGGGTGCAGCTAGAGCGTCCACCTCAGGTGATTGGGGAGGCTGAGCCCCTATAGGTCACCTACCACACAAAGTCACTCCATCAACCATCGACACAGGGAAGCAGCCAAAATGTGGAGACACAGAAACATGTCATGAATGAAAGAAATGGAGGAAAGCAAACTACTGGACAACATAGAGTTCAAATCCACATTTATAAGGTTTCTTAAGAATCTTCTAAAAACCACTGAGAAACTTGATGATACCTCTGAGAAGCTTAGTGAGACATTCAAGGACCTTAATGAGAATGTCAAAAAAATGAAAAAGGACTAGTCAGAAATTAAACATACACTGTCTAAAATAAAGAATATATGGAAATTCAACTGTAGATCAAAGGACCCCAAGAATCAAACCAAAGATCTGAAATATGAGAGAAAAAAGCATCCAAACAGAAAAAGAAAAAGAAAAAAAAATCCAAATATATGAAGATAGTGTAAGGAGCCTGTGGGACAACTTTAAGCATACCAACATCAGAATTATTGGGGTGCCAGAAGAAGAGAGAGCAAAATATTGAAAACCTATTAGAAGAAGTAATGACAGAAAACTTTCCCTACCTGGTGAAAGAAATAGATTTACAAGTTCAGGAAGCTCACAGAACCCCAAACAAGAGGAATCCAAAGAGGACCATACCAAGACACATCATAATTAAAATGCCAAGGGCAAAAGACAAAGAGAGAATCTTGAAAGCAGCAAGAGAAAAAGTTAGTTACCTAAAAGGAAGTACCCATACGACTGTCAGCTGATTTCTCAACAGAAACTATGCAGGCTAGAAGGGAGTGAAAAGGAATATTCAAAGTGATGAACAGCAAGAATACTCTACCTATCGAAGCTATCATTCAGATTGAATGTCAGATAAAGAGTTTTATAGACAAGAAAAAGCTAAAGGAGTTCATCACTACCAAACCAGGGTTTTATGAAATGCTGAGGGGTATTCTTTAAGAAGAGGAAGAAGAAGAAAAAGGTAAAGATAAAAATTCTGAACAACAAAATGACAACAAATACATACCTACCAACACGTGAATCTAAAAATCAGTTGAATGAAAAATCTGATGAACAGAATGGACTGATGAATATAATAGAACCAAGGACATAGAAAGGACAATTCCCTGGGGGAAGGGGGTGTGAGGGGTGTGGGAAGATATTGGACAAAAATCTTATACCTATGGATGAAGACAGTGGCGGGGGTAAGTGCATGGAGTGGGGTAGGGAATCAGGTGGAGGGGAGCTATGAGGGGGGGTGTAAAAAAAAGAGTAACACCTGTAATAATATGAACAATAAAGATTTATTTAAAAAATGACCCAAATATATACTGTCTACAAGAGACCCATTTCAAAACAATATACTCACAAGAATGAGAGGAAATGGAAAGAAAAAGAATTTCCATGCAAATGGAAACCAAAATAAAAGCTGGGGTAGCAATACTCATATCTGAAAAAATACACCTCAAATGAAGGCCACCACAAGAGATAATAAACATCACTGCATCATAATAAAGGAATTGATCCAATATGAGGATATAACCTCGGTAAAATATATATGCACCCAATGTAAGAGCACCTAAATATATATTTAAAAAGAAAAAGACATTCTGGAGGATTTTAAGGGAGAGACCAACAGTAATATAGTAATAGTAGGGGACTTTAATACCCCTCTGACTTCACTGGATAGATCTTCCAGGAAAAAAAATTATCAAGGAAATAGTGATTCTAAAGGACACACTGGATCAGATGGATTTAATTGTCATTTATAGAACACTTTATCACAAGGCTATAGAATATACATTCTTCTCAATTGCACATGAGTCATTCACAAAAATAGACCACATGTTAGGATACTGAACAAATCTATACAAGTTCAAGAAGATTGAAATCATTTCAAGTATCTACTCAGATCATAATGAAATGAGATTAGAAATCAACTACAATAAAAAAACATTTAAAAAGATGGAAACTGCCGGGTTGGGTGCGGCCAGGCCCGGAGCAGCGGCTGCCAGGCTGGGAGCGGCCAAGCCCGGAGCAGCAGCAGCCAAGTCCAGAGCAACTAGGTCGGGAGCGGCAGTGACCAGACCAGGAGCAGCTGTTGTGAAACGAACCAGAGCAACAGAGGCCAGGCCCTGAGCAGCCAGGCCCGGAACAGCTCGCTCCTCGCCTGCCCCTGCCCCACGGCTGCCTCTCAGACATGGCTGGAAACTTTCGTGGGAACTTGAGGGTCTGCTGAATCAAGTGATTAAAGCTTAGATCTGGATGTGTTGAGTTAGTATAGGGCTGGGGTGTTGATCTGTGAGTGCCTTGGGTGGGGCCTGGATGAGGCTGGTGGACCTATTGGGAAATGTCTTTTGTGTGAAGTGTATCATTGGGCATGTGGAGGTATTATTGATATGAGAAAATGCTAAGTAACTGATTTACTATCTGAAAAGGGATTTACTATCGGGGAAAGGGAGGGAAGAAGAGACTGAACATAAACTGTGCACCTATGAATGAGGACAATGGGGGATGGGCAGGGGGCGGAGGGTGGGGTGGGAATCTGGTGGAGGGGGGAAGAAATGAGGAACCTTTGTAATAATATGAACAATAAAGATTGATAAAAAATAAATAAATAAATAAAAAGAAAAAAAATAAAAATAAAAAGATGGAAACTACATGTTATGAAACAATGATTGGATTACCAATGAGATTCATAAAGAAATAAAATATTTAACAAAAGGAAGACAAGGAATCCAATTTTAAAAATGGACAAAAAGCTTAAATAGGCCCATCTCCAAATGGACATACAAAAGGCTAAGAGACATATGAAGAAATGCTAAAAATAACTAATCATCAGAGAGATGCAAATTAAAATGACAATGAGGTATCCCTCACACCTGTCAGAATAGCTACCATCAACAAATCAATAAGTGACAAGTTCTGGAAAGGATGTTGAGAAAAGGCATCCTTAGTACACTACTGGTGGGAATGCAGACTGTGTAGCCATTAGGGAAAACAGTATGGAATTTCCTCAAAAATTAAATATGGAATTGCCATTTCATCCAGGGATCCAATTTCTAGGAATATATCCTAAAACACCAATTAGAAAGAATGTATGCACCCCTATGTTCATAGCAGCACAATTTACAATAGCTAAGATCGAGAAACAGCCCAGCATTGGATTGGTGGCTAAAATGCTGTGGTGCATTTACATTATGGAATGGTATGCAGCTTACCCTTTGAGATAGCATGAAGGGATCAGGAAAGTATTAACCCAGTCAGAGAAAGACAAGTATTACATGATCTCACTCATATGTGGAATCTAATGAACAAAATAAACTGGTGATCAAAATAGATCCTGAGACATGGAAGCATGGAATCTCAGAGAGAACATGGGCATGGTAGGTGGGTGGGTGGAAAGAGATCAACCAAAGAACTTGTATGCATATATTTAAAACCCGTGGCACAGACAATAGGGTGGTGATGTCCTGCATGGTGGTGGAGGCCAGCTTGAATGGATCAATGGGAAAAATATGGAAACATCTGTAATTTTTTCCATAATAAAGATAATTTTTAAAAATTAATAAATAGCACAATTTGTAAGAACATACTTTTTATTACAATAGTTAATTATTATCTGTAGTAAAAAATTGGGGGGTTATTCTAGTTCATGCTTTTAGGTACTAGCCTGATATTTTTTTATTTTTATCAAAGCATTATGAAATAGTATTCTCTATCATGATTTCTTAGGGTGTTTCTTATATTTCTTCCATGCTCTTTTCCCTAAGTTTTGTGGAAACTTAATATGGGAAACCTGCTCTCCTAACATCAGTATTATTGGCAAGATTTGTTTTATTTTATAAGTATAAAGGTTTATGATACCTGAAAATTATCTCTAAAATGTCTTGATTTATAATGACTTTGTTGTCTTTGAAATATTCCCTGAGACTACCATATCCGGACTCACATCTCTCGTTGCTTTGAAACTTTATAGTTGATCAAAATATTGGGAGAACAACTAAAAAGTAAGTATAATTTTTAAATTGTCATGGTATCTGAGTTAGTGTCCTGGCACTTAAACTGAAGTTTGCCTGTGGGAACTCATTCTACATAATTGTATCATTGTTATTAAACACAATGAGTTTTATGACCCTGAAAATTCAGACACTCTTCCCAGAGTGATTTCTTTAGCCCTGCTTTATTTTTTTAACTGAAGCATCTAAGTTTTTTTTTCTCTTATTCTTTATGAAGCATGAGAATTTCAAAAGTTCAATCTCCAAGTCTTTCTTCAATTCACATTCAGTGAATCTTTGTAAAACACTATTGTTCGGTCCTCTGAGGGGAGTGTGAGACATGATCTCTGTTCTTAGATCTAATTGCAGAGCTCCAGCAAACATGCATAAGAGAAAACCACAAGTGCTTCCTATAAAGTTACAAGAACTTCAGTTGGACAGTGAGTGTGGCTCTAGTGAGGATAGGCCATGTTATGCTATAC